CTGAAGAACGGAATACGCATACGTTTCGCCAATTGTTCCAATTGTACATTGGTGGTGACGCCCATAGGCATTTTTAGTATTTTTTCGACGTTTTTTTTCCCCCTTTTATGACACCTTTTCCTCGTTTGTATGGTGCGAGATAAATTCCACGACCTTCCATGCTGCGATTATGACGTTGCATCTCCTGCAGCTGACGCTGCGCAGCCTTGGTATCGTTTACAGCCTTTGCGACCCCCGCCGCTCCACCAACTAGCGATCCAAGCGCTCCCAGCAGCGGGAGAATAGGTAGAATTCCACCTCGTTTTGCTATTGGAAGTATTCGATTTCGTAATATTTCCTTTTTCGATGCGCTTCGCTTCTTTTTCATGCCCATTCCGATTTTTGTCTTAGCCTTCATAGCTGCCCAAACAGCTGTAGCGGCAGCTCTCTCATCGAGAGTGGAATCTCTCGCGACTATACGTTCTCGCGCCTTGTCAGCGAGTACGTTATCTGCCACGTGCCGTTCGACGAGAACGTTGCTTCGAGAATACGCGATATCGTACTCGCGACACGCCGCATCCAGTGGATTGATACCCCGATCACCTCTGGCCAATCGTGTCCGCAAGCGTGTACTCGGCCCGCAAAACTGGTAGCCGGGGATATGCAGTTCGATAGGAAGCGCGTTAATGGCACGATTTAACAGACTGTTGCCGATTTTTACTGTTTTCGACGACGCTGACATTCAGCACAGTCTCTAATCAACGGCGCTGGATCGTCGATGTGCGTTTGCTGCCACGGACGATTATAATGTTCCAGACACCGACGATACTGTCGAACCTCCGGGTCGGCCCTTATATGATTCTGTCCCACAAAACGTCAATGTGCTTCGAAAACCCGCGCAATAGAACAATCTTCGGTATATATTTCAACTGTTCAGAGGTTAGGTCTCGAATATCATGAGCATCCAACTGTAGGAGAAACATTTTGGAGACTGAACGGATTCGATTCGGCGCCTCCCTATAAATAGTTGCCGCGTGCTAATGAAGCATTTTGAAGCGACATGAGGTTCATACGACAACCGACACCGATACGCGTGAGAAATTTCGGTGATAGAATGCGAGTAACGTCCGAAAATATCATACGTAAGCATGGCCACTTGCTACCGATTACCATACGCGGTATCGTATGTGGCCCCTCGAATTGTGGTAAGACGAATGTGTTGGTGAGCCTGCTGGAGAGCCCACACGGTCTGCGTTTCGAGAATCTGTACGTGTACTCGAAATCACTGCAACAGCCGAAATATCGCTTCTTGGAGAATTTGTTTGCGTCGATAGACGAAATTGGCTTTTTTATATTTTCCAATAACATCGATGTTGTTCCGCCGAACGAAGCGCTGCCAAATTCTATTTTTGTTTTTGATGACGTGACGTGTGATAAACAAGATACGATAAGAGAATACTTTGTTATGGGTCGTCACTCGAACGTCGACTGTTTCTACCTCTGTCAGACGTATGCAAAGATACCTAAGCATCTTATACGGGATAATGCGAATCTGCTGATTCTCTTCAAGCAGGATGGTACCAATCTGAAACACGTGTACAAAGATCACGTGAACACTGATATGACATACGAAGATTTTTGTGCGCTGTGTCGCGAATGTTGGCAGCAAAAATATGGTTTCGTAGTGATAGACAAGGACAATTCTATGACCAATGGACGATTTAACGATTTCGGCGAGGATTTAACGATTTTGCAATACCGTAATGTCACAATTTGTCGTTTGTGCGTCAACGAGGAAACGTCGTAATGGTGACGTCAGATTACACAGAGATTAGCGACTCAGAGATTAAAGATGGCGAGAAGATGGCGAAGGAAATTGCGAAAACGAGCGAATCGATCCGTATGAAATATTGTGCTTTGAAAACCGGTAGAGAGGAGGAAGATACTGCGTTGGAAAGACACTTTCGACCTGTTATCGAGCCTCTGAGACAGATTGTGGAACATACAACTCATGTGAAACCTGACGCATCCACCATACTGGGAAATGATGCGTTATCGATCGATGAGAAGAAACCAAAGCGCAGAGCCAAACGCTTACTTGTCGCCTCTACACCGATCTACCAGAAGCGGAGAAAATCAAACGCCGCGACGGATTCTCCTACGATAATCTCCACAGACAACTTGCATCATACACAATTGCGCGAAATGCCTCCGCCACGCGCTACTCTGACCACCAATAGTGAAGATGTTTTCGAGACCACTGGTGATTCACTCGTAACATCGATTAGACGTGAGCTGCAAACGTCCGAGGGGCAGGAAACTTTGCGCACTCATTTTGGTCCACTGGGGCAAAAATACATGGGAGCAGTCTTAAGCAGCGACAAACATACCACCATAGACTACGTATATGGTGTGTATTTCAGCAGTGATGGAACGAAGCTCGGCGATAAAAGTTTCGACATGGATATCGACGATAATATAATCATTGGTGGTGTAAAGTACGCTGGAACATCTGGTCTATACGAGCTGATTTTCAAGAGAATTCCCGACGATGCCGTCTACACGGAGGCCGATAAACAAAAATGCAAAAATATATTACTGGCGACGAATGCTTACAGACGCAATCACAACGCGCTACAACCCGTATTGAGTAACAGGGGATACAAATACAAAAACATAATTGCACCCCTAATGATTGGTACATCGACCAACATGGCGGGCAGAGGTTTAGCCACACAGCGTACTATGATATTGAATGATAATGCGATCGACTATGTTCACTGGGACGATCCCAACAAGCTGGTGAATCGTCTGCGATTGCTGGAAGCCTCTCGACAAACTGGCAATAACGCTCACAGTTATGAAATTTTATCCATTATCGAGGAACTTCGCGAGGCGGGCCTTGTTATAAATTGAATCGCACATCGATGATGCGCGTTGTTTGCATCGAAATGTCGATCAATAAATTTGGTGTTTCGCTCCAAAAGAGAGGACCGCCGACGATGGACTATTACACGTGGAGAGGAGTACTCAGAAATTACGTACGCGATAACACTTTGTGCATGGTCGCCTCCGACTTTGATGCGAGGTCGCGCAAGATACGACGCGTAGCGCAACCGGAAGCCGACAGTGACGCCGTCAATAGACTCTACGTGGGAAGAGGTCTCGCTGCATTGAGAGAGAAACAGCAAGAATTTGAAAAGAAACAGGAGGAATTTGAAAAAAACCTGATCAGACTTCATGCTGAAACACGTGCCATATGGGAGAAAGTGTTTGCAGCGCGAGAACGCGTTGAATAGATGGAATTTAAAACGATGCGCTCGCAGTTTCATCATTCGTGATGAGGCGATCTAAGTGATCAAACATGCGGAAGACTGGTGGAGACGGGAAACAACACAGCCCCGAAAAGCAACGGTTGGTGGAGGAGTTGCATGCTCCTGCGAGACAGCATTTTCCTCGCAGACGTGTCATTGTGCGTGGATACGATGATCTGTGGCAAGCCGATGTAGTGGAGATGCGTCCGTATTCGCGGCTCAATAGTGGCTACCACTACATACTCACCGTTATCGATGTGCTGAGCAAGCATGCTTGGGTCATGCCGCTAAAGACTAAGAGCGGAAAGGAGGTGGTCGAGGCGTTCGGCAAGATAATTCGAGACAGCGGAAGACAAATTTGCAAACAGACCAGGGGAAGGAATTTTACAATACCGATGTGCAGAGACTCACGAAGAAACACAACATTAATCATTATTTGACGTACTCAGTTATGAAGGCTTCCGTCGTGGAACGATTCAATCGTATGCTGAAGAATGACATGTGGAAAATGTTTACATTACAAGGAACCTACAGATGGATCGACTCGCTACC